CCTTCGGAGGCCGAAGGTCTCACCGTGCGGAGCTTAACTCACGCTGGTGTCAGTAGTTTCGTCCTTACTGGTTCCGCACGGTGAGACCTTCGGCCTCCGAAGAAGACGAGAAGGGCGAAACGTTAGGCCAATAAAAGGTTTCATCTAAACAACCTCGTTTGGCAGAAGTAATTGAACATTCGACATCATGCCGAGGTTACAAGAAGGGACAACGTGGAGACCACTACGAAATGTCCTGGTGGGGATGGCGAGGGCCGCATTGCGGCTGGACGACTGGGGTCGTATTTGGTTGCTGAAGGGGGAGGTGAGGTAAAGACTGTGAGCGAGGTAAACGGGTCCGTAGCTGTAGAAAAGTGCCACATTCGTCACTCGAAAGAATATGGCTGGAGGGTCGTGATAGCCAGGTATCCTCTGAATTCCACCTACAGGCACGTAACGTGCCGCACGTGCATGTTTGACCACAGTCAAAAGTCTGCACCCTCTCACGGTTACATGTTGGTCAACTGGGCGCTCATACTGTTGGTAACAGGACCAAGACATCGACACTCTTGCCTCACATTGTGTACAGTGGGCGGAGTTCAAAACGGCATCTAGATATTACGCCCTACCAGCTTCATTTCAGCTCATTTTCAAGTAATGTAACTGGCACACTTTCACGGCTGTGGATTTGTCCACCTGGCGTATGGCAAAGGCATAATCCAGGTTACTCCACAGCATATCTTTGATCCCTGCTTCTAGCATGCGAATAGTGAACCAGCTCACCTCGTTGTTGTCGCTCTGAGGCGGCGCAGGATCACTGTCTGGAAGATTGGGGAGCGCGGTCGGGTAGTTGGTGGGCGATTCTGGCAGGTAAATGTCCTGAAAGTGATTCAATGGGCTTTAAAGCTGTTTAAAGTGCTCTAATAACTGTGAACTCTGGTGTTAAAGCAGATAGGAAGGGGGAGTAAGAGCTTGCGAGACTGAGGCTTGTCCCACGCACTCTTTTCGTCTGCTTACGCCGTCACAGGTACCATCCCCCTCCCAACCACCTTGATGCCTACAAACCCTTCAAATTAATTTGGATGAATATTCCAATGTAAACGATAACGACAAACCTTCATTACCTCCACTGGCATTCCCGGCACTATCTGATAGTTTTGAAAATCATCCGGCCCACTTAGTGGGTACTCCGGTCCCTGATGGGGCTGGTTCACTGTCTGGCATTCGCCACCGGCTGCTGTTCTGATTATAGCTGATTGTTCATGTTGCTGAGCATACATCGGCTGCTGTATCACTGGTTCATACATTGACGCCGTGTCGAAACCGAAATCAACTTCTTCCGTTTTGAAGACTTGATCGGCTGGATAAGTTGGTGGCGACTGCATCTGAGCCGTTTGAAGATTGTCCGAATTCTCTGGAGGCTGATATGGGTTTGTCACGAAGAACTCATTGATTTCTGCCATTTGAGCGGTTTGGATTGGATCTAAAAAAATTAAATTATGTCCTATGCGAGAAGGTCAGTCTCGGGATTGGTCGGCTTCCAACTCGATGTTCATACTTGACGACTTCAGCGTCCAATCGAGCTATTATTACAATCGACTGCGCTTCACAGCTAATCATTGGACCAGTACAGCTGCTATAGCGAGTTCACATACGACTTCACCTTTTAAGGCATCTCCTGCTATATATAATTGGGTCCGTTGCGTGTGTGTTTTGCGTCTATCTGTTGTCACGAAAATTCATAGGGCACCTGAAGAAGAACTTGAAGGATGGTCATGGTGGGGAGGGTAGAGCATTTGCGACAAAACACGCTCCCCCCATAATACAAACACCGCATTGAGCCCATGGTCATGGGTGTGTGTTTAGGTTTTTTTCGCCAGCCACTGAGGGCGTGCGTCGAAAGTTAGCGATTTCACTGAAAAAAAGTTATAACTCGGTTCCAGAGCAGTCCCGAGATGAGGAAACAGTGCAGTAAGGTTCACAAGGGGCTGGCCGACAAAATAGAGAGGGACACCCGAAATGGGCGGGGCGTACTTGAGATAGGCGGCGCTTCTCGTGTTACTGAAAAAGCTACAATTTGGCTACAAAGCAGCCCGGAGACGGGAAAAGTAAGGTTATCACTGGATTGGCAGAGCAAATGAAGAACGTCATACCCAACAATGGCGGGCGTAATCTGGAATGGGCGGCGTTCCCGGTTGCAACCAAATATTCGGCATTAAGTTCGCTGATAGACCTCTCACTAGCGATGCAGGTATGCACTCTAAAGCACGTTTGTCTGGGGAGGGGGAGGGGCGTACTGCCACAGTCATTTTTGAAGGCTGCGAATTAGGTCGTGTGAGTCAGCCCGCTTAGCACTTCCCGACTGCTAATGAATGTTGACCAGTGAAGCGCCCACCCGCGCCATAGCACCATTGCAGGAGTGCATTCCAAATGTGATTTGTTACAGCTGCAGCGTCTGCACGATCAGTCCCACAACTACAGCCGCGCGTCCGGTATAAGTCGTCGAAGTGTGAACGAGGCCTGATGGGAAGATGCTGTGAACGAGGTCTAATGCTGGGGACGAGTTTTCTGCGATCAGCCAATAAAAGACGCGACTCCTGCCCAGGCTCAACGCAAGCCTTCTACCGCTCGCCGGGGACGGTGATTGGTGCCAGGTTCGTCTGGAGGTATATAACATGATGCTATTATCATCGGCTGGCCACCGCAAGTCATTGTATAGGCCACATCGCATTCAATAAGCCACTACGATTCTGAATGGAAGTAGAATGCGTGCCGCATCCCACAAAGGGATTGATCAACGGCGAAGACTTTATCCTTTAATGCCTTTCAACTTCCAGAACCATTCAAGCGTTCACAAAAAAGAAAGCTGAACTTAAAGTTACCGTCTCCGGAATTTTGAGTGGGCTGGAGTCAGAATGCACGCCATCGCATTCCCTCCGCGCGCCTTCTTCATCGCTCAAGCGAAGGGAAGACGGGGAGCACCAATGACGTTTTTTCCTGGCTCCGCCTGCCGGATAATCCCGAATGCTGTCCTTGACCAGAACAGAACACGACCCACAGCTCGCATAAATGATCCTGGTATCTTTTCACTTCATCAACCTGTGCCTACATCGAAGGAATAACGATTATTCATAAATCCCTAATAAATACCTGGCTCAGGCGATGGTGGCTGTTTCAAAACTGTACCGTCACCATTGACAACTACACCACCGGGCACCTGACCATTGGCCGCCACGTTGTGATAACTGAAACAAAACTGTTGACTCCCAAAGTGTTTACAATGGCCAGCAAAGACCTTGGCGCGTTATATCCTTCCACATTCACGAAGCCTGTCTGCATCGAATTTGAGCGCGGATTCTGTACCCAGGCTTGTTGGCACGGGTTCCCAAAGACGTTTATTGCTGGCTCGCCTACTGAGTCCATTCCATGATGTGACGATGTCGAATGCGAAGCTGTTGAATGGTGAGATACGTGTGATGCCTGAAACCATCGGGTTTGGGAGGGTTCTTTGCTTTCTGGCCCTTGAACTGATGCGCTCTGTGCTTACCTGGAACAACGGCACATCCGAAGATGATGGATGAGGCATTTGCCCTTTGCCACCTCTCATACGTGTTGTCGCTTCAATAGAGTAAGTATTTATAGGAGTATTATGTAAATAACATATGGCGCTGACCATGTTAAGGGGGGGTGTAAAACACCTCTGTCAGCGCCTCTATGTCTCTGTCCGTCAAGACTAAGACTTGTGCTAAGGCGTAGACGACAAAGGTCGCGAAGACTCCACAATTGGCCAGTCTAGGCCTTAATTAGAGAAGAGACACAGAGGCAATGTAAGTGCGCCTTCCCTTCACCCCCCCCCTCCTCAAAGTAACGTTCAAGACCAGGTCGAACGTATTACCATTGTATTTATTAACAAAGTTTGCTGTTCCTAGCAGCAAGAAAGATGAAACATCTTTGGTGTATTCCTGGGTATCAGATTCGAATAACGAAGGGAGAGTTGTCCCCGCGCTTTACTTTCGCTACGCTCCCCCTCTACTGTATTACACCCATTTTAGATCTTTCCAGAATTAGTCCGCTTTGACACTCACTACTCATCCCGCCAGACGCTGGGCGTAGCAGGTTTCCTTCTCGAGTCGCCGTCACGAAAGTCCGTTGGGCCACCCTTTGCGTTACCCAATGGGAAGGTCGCACTCAACAAATGAGAGGAATACCCTATTTAGAGACCCCTCTTGAGGAGGGTTGCGTTCCACTGCACCTATTACCAACATCCCATGGTGTACTCTGTTAGAACTGGGGCACGCGCTTTATTTCCTCAAAGCGCTACCTCATACTGCTGGAAACTCATTTCTGAGCAGCATACGATTGCAACAGGAGCTGAAAGAGAGGCAGCATGAAGAAAGTTTCTTATTGAACGCTGTGTAAATGCTCTCAGCGGGCTTTCCTCAAGGCTTGCCCCATCAGGGAGGGAGATTACCTCTGCTCTCCGCTCGCACCCGAACTCTGCTGTGATGACTACAAGCGCTCGTAACAACTCTGCCCCAGAGTTACAAACGAATTCGCTGGTTCGAGTTCAATGTCGCCCCCCCTCACCCCATAGGCTACGATCTGCTGACGCCCCACCAGAGCATTGTAGCACTGCAAACTCTGAGCGCTCATGGGAAGCTGAAACTCTACATTTATGACGTAAGCACCAACAATAGAAAAAGCCAATACGAGTCTTCGCCGTTGTGTTATTGCGGGATCTGCCTCTGACAAATATGTGCCCTTCCCTCATTGCACTTCTGCGTGGGCCCCAGTTCTTCTTGCCCAGCTCTCCACTAATTTCATTAGCATCCCGCTCGTCCACGGAGCTGGTAGCATTAGAGCGGGGATTTGGGCATTTTACCGATAGGCTCTCTGATGCGGTGTTCTGGATTCCTTCAACGACGTCAACTACATCGCCGTGACATACGATGTCAGTGATGCGCAAGCAGAGTAAACTGAAGTCAATTTTTACGACTATTCTACCATTCGGTGCAACTACATAACCGATTCCCGGCCCTTGCTTCCTAGTTGTGCTCAGTTGTTGATTTATTTTGCACAGGGCAAAAAAAACAGAGGTGTTATAATGGACTGAGTCTGTTACCGTTCATAAAAGAAGTGTCGATGTGATTGTTGTACTCACGCATATTGTTGAGACCTCGCATGCTAAACATTTCATTCTAAATCTAACTCAGTGGAAAAATGCACTTAAAAAGATCGATAGAAAGAAGAGGTAGAATCACTTGTTGTGATAATGGCTGTTATTATCTAGACCATTCCAACCGAAAAATCCACCATCTGAAGGATAAGACGAACCGAAGAATGTGTTGTGACTGAAAGCAGCACGATTATTGATCGCATATGATGCCAGCCATGCGTATTTTCCTTATAGCACACTTATTTCGCTCCCAAAAATGGCCTTCAGTCGTCTCACGGCCAATCAGGAAGGCTCAATGGCTCACTGTCCTCGATAACTGGATGGGCGGGGACAGTGAGCCATTGAGCCTTCCTGATTGGCGCGAATCTGGGCGCGTCAATGAGATGTTTCTCTGCTTTGGTCCACACAACCAGCTCGGAATAAGGACACCACTCTGAGCCTGAGTGCCGTATCTTTCTCCTTCTGTCCCATTCCCCGATGTTTGTTACCTGGGTGGTCCTACCCTACTGGGTTGAGTGTACTGAGCACTCCTA